GGGCGGGTGGAGGGGCTGGGGGCAGTTCTTGGAGGATATGGTGTTAGAATCCTGATGGCTGGGTAGGAGATACCTGGATGAGATGTAGAGGTTTATTGTAAACAGCTTCACCGAGATATAATTCACATACCACGCACTTCACCCATTTGAATGTACGATTCGTTGATTTTTAGCATACGAAGCCATGATTTGACACAGTTAGATTTGCATTCCAGAAAGCTCACCTTGTCAGTCTGGGCAGCGGGTTCAAAGATCTGGCTGCAGATTGAACGAGAGCTATGTGAGGCCCCGGGTGGATGGTGGGACCAATCCCTGAGGTAGGAGTGCAGGATGAGGGCCATGTTTGAGGGGCAGTAGGATAGATAGAGACAGTGACAGAGACAGAGATAAAGATAAAGACGGAGATGAAAATTCGCTTTGAAATGATGTTGCTGCTTCCCTGCCTGGACCCTTTCAGTATCTTCCGTTGCCCGTGGTTGAACCCCAGGCCCCTTATGACGTGTGGTCACACCTGTCTACTATACAGTCAAAGGGGCTTTGCTTTCTGTCTCTGTCTGTTACCTAGTCTGTGACCTCGAGCAAGTTACTTAGTCCCTCAATGCTTCAGCCTCCTCACCTGTAAGAAGGGCGGACAGTAGCACCTACCTCGGAGGGGATGTTGTAGGATTGACGAGATCATATAAAACATTTCCAAGCAGTGCCTGACGCACGGCAGACGCTCAGCAACTATTGACTGTTATTTCCTCCTGTTGAGTTTACTGGTAGAAGGAGCATTCCTTTCGACCTCATCTCCTCTGCGCACACCTGTTTCCCAGCCACTTCGGACTAACGGTCGGAACACACTGCAGTTTGGGCCTCCAGCCTCTGGTGGTGCCGTTTGCTTTCTTGTGACTTCCCGTCCTCTCTTGCTCTGCCCAATGAGTTTCGACCCATTTCTCTCCGTGCTTTGTTCTGGTTGTTATTTTCCAATTCATTCATTTGTCTCTTCAGCTCTTAAATTTGCTTAAAACTCAGCCACTGATTGTTTGATGGTAGAGTTGCCATTTGTTCTTTTTCTTTCTTTCTTCTCTTTTTTTAATTGTTTCCAGGCCTCTGCCAAAATTCCGGTCTTGCTGTCGCTTCCGCAGGTCAGGGTCCTTGTCTTGTCTTTTCCCAGCCTGCAGCGTCGTGCTTGACCCATCATAGGTGGTCATTGTTGAGCAGTTACTTTTCTAGATCTAGAAAGGTGAGTCCTTGGCATGTAAATAACACTGTGCCCAGATTAAAGTAGTTTCCTCCTCTTTCCTGCCTTCACTGGTACAGTGCTCACCACGGTTTCTGAGAGTCTGTTGTATGTACGTTTGTCTTCCCAACTTGAATATGATGCCCTGAGGGTATGAGCTTATTATCAGCCTTGTCAACACTAAGCGTGTCTGTTACAGCCTCAGACCTTAGGAGGGTACTTGATGCAGATTTACTGATTCCCAGGAAAGCGTCTGCCCCCTTAGTACGCGGGTAAGTACCAATACTAACCTGAAAGGAAGTTCAGGAGAGGCAGCTCGCCTTTGAGCGGCTGCCTGGCATCGGAAAGGATGTCGGCTTTGGTGCCGGCTCCGTCATTTCTACCTGTCCATGTTCCAGGTAAGTACTTCAGCCTTTTTTTTTCCAGCCATAGATCCTTCACCTGTAGAACGGAGAAGAATACCTACCTTGCAGGATTGTTGTAAAGGATTAGAGAAAATAAAGACGTATTTGCGATGTATTCAGTACGGGGCCAAGGAGGTGAGAGCTGCCAGCAGTGCCACCTTTATCTTCCTCCTTCTCCTCATCCAGTTCTGTGGTTTTGGTTGGTACAGGTTTTGAAGTGAAAGATCATGCTGCGAAGCCAGAGACCCCCAACAGCCTGCCGGCCCCTCCCCAGATGCCTCTGCCAGAGATCCCGCAGCCGTGGCTGGTGAGTTAAAGTCCCACCATCACAAGAGTCACCAGATGTCTGTGTTACTTTTGCTTCCAGGGGCAGGTGATAAAAGCCCAGTTCTGGAAGAAAGGAGGCCACGTGTTGCCCAAGGCACTCCTTTGAGTGTGTTTTTTTGGATTCTAGTAATGGCTAAGTGGGAGGCTGTAAATGTAGCCTTCTCTCAGGAGGCTGATGGTTCTTTGAAAATTGCTGGAGCTACAGGTCCATGGAAATCTGTTGTTAAGTTGGATTTTAAAAAACTCGGATGATTTAGCAGGCAAAACAATGACAGTAGAGCCTAGGGACTTGCCCCTCTTTCTGGGTTAACTCTGAATTTGAATACCTTAGCCTGAAACTTTAACGCTCATTGCTATGCTTCTTCTGGGATTAAATGTTCTTTTCTTCCCCCCAGGAAGAAAAATATGTACCTAGTCCAGGAATGTGTGTTTTATTTGATTTTCTGCATTCAAAATTGGTTTTGGAGTTCTTTTACTATTTTTGCAATCTGGGGATACTCACGTATGCCATTTTTCATGGACCATTCAGCTTTTTCTGCCTTTTGCTATTTTCTCATTTGCTTACTCAGGGAAATTAGGCTTTTATTCAAAATTAGAGCAAAATCAGTTACTTAGCAACTCTCTTCTTAACATTTGCTTTCTCTATGAATCATCTAATTATCTCTCTACCAGGAAAGGAGCTGCCGGAAAGCAGGGCCCCATCCCATTTGTTTCTGTTCTGCCTGGGCCCCAGCACATGGCTGATGTCCAGCGAGTACTCAGTAATTATCGTTGTAAAGGAGATGGAAGGAAATCAGTGCTTACTGGGTCCGTACCACCTGTCACAGATCATGTTTGCTCTTTTTTCACTTATAATTTCATTTAATCCTTACAACCTGACCTCAGGGAACCCTAAAATACCCCTAAACATGTGAATAGTGTGTATTTCCATTTTCCAGAAAAGGAAGTGTGGGTCCAGTGAAGATGTGATTGCTCAAGGGCAGTAGGAAAGGCAAAAATGCAATTTTTTGTAACGTATTCTTTTGATTTCAAATCCAGCCTTTTCTCAGCAGTACTGTTTGGGGAGGCATGGCAGCAAAGCCGATGCCAGCGTGACTCACCGACGGGAGAAGGTTTTCTTAGGAACCTAAGCCTGTTCCCGAGCTGGGCTCTGGGGAGGCCGCGGGGTCCAGGGTGTGGATGGGAGCACGGTTCCTGCGTCCAAGCACCAGCTCTGACACTTACTGTGTGAGTTCAGACTGTGGCTTTCACGTCTCTGTGCCTGAGATGCCTCATTCTGAAACGAGTGTAGTAATAGTGCCCACTTAGTGCTTTTCTTGTGGAGATGAAAAGAGTTGATGGACCTCAAGTGCTTGGAATATATGCCTTGCATCTGTTAAGCCCCGTGCAAGAGCCAGCTATTAACTTTGTAGGGCTGTGCTTCTCAGACTTCCGGGGAGCGTGTTAAAAATGGACATTCTGGGGCTTCCCTGGTGGCGCAGTGCTTGAGAGTCCGCCTGCCGATGCGGGGGACGCGGGTTCGTGCCCCGTTTCGGGAGGATCCCGCGTGCCGCGGAGCGGCTGGGCCCGTGAGCCATGGCCGCTGGGCCTGCGCGTCCGGAGCCTGTGCTCCGCAAATGGGAGAGGCCACAACAGTGAGAGGCCCGCATAACGCAAGAAAAAAAAAAATTTTTTATTTTGTTTTTAAAAATTGTGGTAAAAGATACAGAACATAAACATTTACCATCTTAACTGTTTTTAAGTGTATAGTTCAGTGGCATTAAGTACATTTATATTCTGGAGCAACTGTTGTCACCATCCATCTCCAGAACTTTTTTTCATCCTCCAAAATGTAATCTCTGCACTTATTAAACAAAAACTCACCATTCCCTTCTCTCAGGCACCTGATAACCAGTGTTATACTTTCTGTCTCTAAGAATTTGACTACTCTATTCCTCATATAAGTGGAATCATACAGTATTTGTCCTGTTGTGACTGGCTTTTTTCACTTAGCATAGTGTCTTCGAGATTCATCCGTGTTGTACCACGTGTCAGTATTTCCTTCCATTTTAAGGCTGAATAATGTTCCTTTGTATGTGTATACCACATTTTCTTTATCCATTCATCTGTGGATGGACACTTGGGTTGCTTCCATCTTTTATATTACATTTGTTATTGTGAGTGATGCTGCTTTGAACATGAGTATACGGTTATATTCTTCTATAGCGTTTTGTGCAAAAAAAAAAAAGGACATTCTGATATGCTGGTAACGTGAATTATATTTTAGATACATTGAGTTAAAGAAGGTGTATTAATAAAACCAATTTCATCCATTTCTATGGCTACTAGAAAAATTTAAATTACATATGTAGCTCACATTTGTAGCTTGCTTTATTTTTCTTTTGTTTTAATCTTTCCACATTTAATCTTTCCACTGTGGAAAGCATATTGAATATATGGTTTTTATATGCTGTTTTTATTTTTTTAACATTATGTATTTTTCCTTTATAAACTTATTTTTAATAATTGTTACCCTTTTTTAAAAAATTCCTCCTGTTTCTTGTAGAAACTGTGACTCAATTATAGCTTTTTCATTGCCTCATTTGATGTTTTTAGATATAAATACAGAATCATAGTATTAATCCTGTTTACTGATATATTGTCTACAAGATAAAGAACAAGATGTGAGAAATCAGTAGTTCGTGAAGCTCCTGGTTTTTGTGCTCTGGTTTACTTTTATTTTTCTTTCTAAACTGACTTGATGATCTGTCTCAATACGCTGTGTCTTGTATTTCATCAGCACAATGCAGGCTGGGAAAGGTGTTTCAAGACTGAAGGTGAGAAATGCAGACCTCTCGAAGCAGCCAGAACAGTAGTGATGGTTATAGGAATTTCATGGACTGTTCTTTAGTGGTACATGAAGTGCCATCCAGCTGGCCTGGACTAAAATGCTTGTCTTTGATGTGCCCGGCCAGGAGGAGTGAATCTCACTTTCAGTGCCAATTTCAAGCAGAGTACTCATTGGATGGTCAACCTTTTGTACCATTTTTGACGGTTGAATAGTCAATCCCTTTCTCTGGATTTCTCCTTGAATGCGGTTTATTCTTCATCCACTATTTTCTCTTCCTCTTCTCTCCTTGTCTCCTGCCCATCTTTGGCTGCAGCGTGTGGCAAACTGCTGTGGTTTAAGGTGGACGAGAAGCCGTCCTACCAGTGGAGTCAGAGCTGGTAGCTGGTTAATTAAAAATGTTGGTTCAAGTGAGGAATTCTAAAAGGGGTATCATGTGCCTTAAACATTTCAGATTTAAACCAATCATTGTTGGGTAAGAGTTTGACCAGTGGGTAATTCCTCCCTACTGGTGCCTGACATGGGTGTCAAGAGAGTTTTCCAAACTCAGCCTCTAAGCCAATGCTGTTTCTTGATATAAAACTCCTAAGACCTTGATGTAGGGCCAAGAGCTGCGTCCTTTGAGTCTGGGGCTACGGCTTGTCTTTTCTACATAATCCATACCTGTGATATAGGACTAATAATTCCCAGTTTTTGTTTCCTTAAAGTGGAGTTAAATTCAGACACCTGCGAAACGATCTGATTTTTAGAGTCCCTAGAATTTTACCAGGGCTGCTCTTTTACAGCTGACTTGACCACTCCTAATTGAGTAACTGTGTCTTTTCTTTTTTTGCAGTTTGTCTTGACTGAACCTTTCTAAGGCATCTCAGAGAATCATCAACTCTCCTTTTGCACTTGTTTTTTCACTGATTTATTTATGTAGTAGCTAACCAAATAAAGTAAAATAAATAATTATAAGTGTAAGAATGTAAAGAACAAAGCTGACTGTTGGTGATAGTGCAGACTTAGCCGATGGCACTGTTTTGTGGGCACTCTGGAGAGGAGCCCGTTGGCCACGAAGGGTTAGCGTTTTATGGATATCCGTCAGGGCATTTTACAGACAGAGTGAAGAACATCTGTCAGCTCAGTGAGTCAGTGAAGTGGAGAGGGGTTAAGACAGCTCTGCTGTATTTTCCTGGTAGTTTATCAGGGAATTCGTTATTTAGCAAGTAAGCCTGTCATTCAGTAAATTGCCTTTGATGAGGTGGCTTTTGTCCAGTTGGTCACTCGCTGCTGGCACGTTGACTTCCAGGAGAATTAGCTGGTAGTGGACAAGAAGTGGGATTGGGTAGGAGGCTATGCCAGGCAGAGGGCGTACCACAAATTAAGGCACAGACCCGAGAAAGACCCCGATGGACTAGAGCATTACAGGCCCCTCTGCATGGCTGAATAATAGGATTTGGATGAGTCGTCCGCGGATGAGGCCAGAACACGCCGCAGGGGTTAAACCTCGAGGGGCCCGTGGGCCTGCAGAGCAGTTTGGAATGGTCCTCAAGGCAGCTATGAATGACCGAAGGATTTGTTTTTAGTGTAAGACTTAGGATGCTCCAACCGGGTATTATTTCTTACTCATTTGAACCACGATGGCATTTTTTACTCTTTCATGGCACGTATTGAAGGAATACTGCCTTTTATCACAGCTATGTGTGTTGCAATCTCCGAGAAATGAGTCCACTTCTATCTTTTTATCCCTTTTAGTGCCGAACAGTGCTTTATGCAGTTATTGTTAACTATCTCTTGACACCCTTTTTTTTTTCTGGACCCTCGAGAGGCTGGGCAGGAGGGTGGGGCCACACTGGCCGCTTTCCCGAGTACGCTCGGCACCCTTCAGCCCCCATTTCGGGCCTGGCGCACCCCTGGCTGAGGGCCCTCACCCGGCGCTCTCAGGCAGCAGCGCTCCCCCTCTTGCTGGCTGACACCCAGGTGGGCCCCCCACACAGGTGTGGCAGAGACTGGACAGGTCTCTGTGCCCCGGTTGGCTGGTGAATTACACTCAGGTGGTAGCAGTAAAAGAAAAAAAAAAGGGATCCAGTGGATCTCTAAAATGTGTCCATTTTGCATAACTGAAACTTTATACCCATTGATCAGCAATGCCTCATTTTGACATTCTCTTA